CCATTAGATTCTTTGTCACAGTAACTGCACAGTTTTATGTCCCTACTAGCAGTGCATGAGGACCTCAAGGAGTTGACATACTGCATTAAGAATAAATATAGTAAGCCCGGCATGGTGGCGTATGCCTGTAGTCCAGCACTTGGGACACTGAGGCAGGAGAATTGCCATGAAGTCAAGGCCAGCCTGGGCTACATAGTGAGTTCAAGAGCAGCCTGACCTACATAGTGAGACCCTGTCTCAAAAAATGAATACATAGAGTAAAATGGGGGAAAACCCAGTAATTGGGAGCAAGGAGTGCTTTAGCTTATGTACCATCCAAGGTGAAGATGGGTCTGAGGGAGGGAAGCAAACCTGAATGCTCTCAACTTTGGAGGCCAAACAAAAAGGGAAACAGGTCAGTCACACAGTTCTTCTGTAGGTGTGTTTTTGCAGGAGAATCAGATGTGCTGTGAGTTAATCCTAAGCTTAATATGATAAACTTAGGACAAAATGTCAGAGTAACAGTGGTCAAAGCCTGGCACCTTGTTCTGTACACCCTGCTCCATTCCCTCGATGGTGACTTGTCTAACAGAGCAGAGGTTCTGCTGCCTTTCAGTCACAGCTGTACCAGAATGCGTCTCGTTGTTGTGGCGTGAGATGTTAGAGAATGAGGAAAGCTTAGGTAAGTGCAAATCATGCTTTGCAAGTGTGGATTTTCATTGAAATCTGTCTTCAGCTGCCTGAGGAGGGCTTGGTGCTCGGTCCCTGTCACCATCTGCCTCGGAACTGTCCTGTGGGCCTCCCCCTTTCCCGGTGTTGATACCTTCCAAGGTGATGCCATACTTGGAGTCACAGAGTGACCAGGCGGGCTGTGGCTGACAGCCAAGGGTGAGCACCCCCAGTGGGAAGGGTGATTTTCCTACCCTCCACTTCCTGCCCTCTGTCCCTGATATGTCACATCTATATTTCTTAATTTCTCTTTCTCTTGCCTAGAGCATAAGCTCCAAAACATGAGAGGCATTTTGTTTATTTATTACTCTGTTTTAACCCTGGAACAGGGCCTGGTGTTCCATAGCTTTTGTGAGCAGTGGCCGCTGCTGCCCAGGTCCATTTCCCTTTGCGGCAGTGTCCCTGCTCCAAGTGGTCCAGTAGGGCTGCTCAGCACCCCCAGACACTTAACACAGACATTCATATGGTACATAGTCTGTGAAGTTGAAGTGATTCGTTGTGGAATTCCTAAACACACTTTAAAAACAGTCATCTTCTGGCCAATAAGTTGATGAAAAAAGTTCAAAATAACATTGAGAATTTCACCCCAGTGAATAACTGCCCCCCCCCCCCCAGTGCTGGCAAGGTTACAGGGGAAAAGGAACCCTTACTGGTGAAAATGTAAATTAGTACAGACACTGTGGAGAAATCAGGAGGCTTCTCAGAAACTAAACAGAGCCACCATCTGACCCAACTGTGCCCCCCTCAGAATACACCTGAAGCAGTTAAAGGTAGCAAACTGGGGACACTGTTTAGTGTGGCCCAGTGCAGCCTGCCTCGCTGCTCACCAGCAGGTGATTGGATGAGGAAAATACATCCACACATGGAGGATTAGCCAGCCGGAAAAAGAATGAAATTTCCATCTTTTGCAGAAAAATGGGTGGATGTTGAGTGAAGTAAGCCAGACTTAGACAAATACTGTGTAGATTCTCTCTAATATGCGGAATCTAAAAATGATGACAAGAATGTAGAAGAATGTCTGTAATTTTAGACAGTAAGAGAAGGGGACAGTATAAGGGTAGGGATATCTGTGTGTGTGTGCGCACGCGCGCAGTGCCAAGGCTAGAACCCAGGGCCTCACACGTGGAGGGAAGCACCACTGAGCCACATGTAGAACCAGGTTGGACAACTGTAACTTATCCCTTGTGTTTGTCTTTCTAGGTTTGCACTTTTTAAAATGTCTTTATTGTCATTTAAATAGGAATTCTTAGAAGGAATGAAGATAAGTGTGGAGAAGGAAGCCTCTTATTCTTTTTCCATATAAAAATTATACAGTTTTCTACAAATTTTTTGTAATTGCCAATTCCCTCACCTGTATGCTTTCATTTTGAGATGGGTCTTCCAGTGCTTCATGATGGGTGATAGGAAAGCTGGGCCTGAGGTTTGAGGAGGAGTCATTTTCCCTTTTCCCTCAGCATGGTAAGGAGACCACCGCTGCTGAGGCTGAGCTGGGGTCTGGTTACTGTCACTCTTGCTGAGTGTGGGCAGTTACTTGGGTAGTGCTGGGATAGGTACATGGGTTTTAAGATTTTCCTTTCTCTTGCCTTTTGTGCTCTGTGGTTGCAGCACTATGGGTTAGGTGTTGGTTTGTTTTTATTGTCTTGCTCAGAGCGCAAGGAGCTCTTTTAATCTGGAAACAAATTCTTGTGCTTGCAAGGCGGGTGGTGCAACCACTGAGCTCAACCCTGGCCCAGTTGTCATCCTTTTGAAAATCCCCTTTCCTGTGCTCTCTGGTTTCATCTCCTAGAACACC